CATAGGGTTTTCTTGACAAGTTTCTTCAGAGGGGGTTTGCCATTGCCAGCCTCTGAAGCTGAGAGAATGTAACTTGCCCAAGGTCACCTAGTGGTTTTTCATGGCCAAGCAGGGAATCAAACCCTGATCTCCAGAGTTGCAGTTCAGCACTCAAACCACTATGCCATGCTGTCCCCTCCATATTGTTGCTGTGTGCCTTCAAGTCATTTCCAACTTATGGCAACCCTGTGGCAAACCTATCACAGGTTTACTCAACAAGATTTCCATGCAGATCAGAAACATTGCACAACACATGGCAATGACTGGGTGTTATTGTGCAATGTGAAACCACAATGCACAAGTGCAACCACAGTACACAATGTGCAGTGCACAACACTGCTTTATGCTCAACTCCACTTCCGCCATTGTGGGTAAAATATGTCTGTTGTACCTTGGTGAACAATTCACCCCGCATGTGTAGAGTGACTTATGCATGTGTATGTCACTAACAGGATGCCAACCATGGTTTGAAAATTCAGAATACTGAAGAGCTTTCATTTGGGTTTTCACTTAGCTGGGCTTGTAAGTCACAACCTGTTCAGAATTGCAACAGTTGACACAACACAAAATTACCTCCTTTATGATATGTGCAACCATGCCAGCACCGTGGTGTTTTACCAAAGCCATTATTTCTATGATCATATGTGAACTGTGGCCTGAAGAGAGGCCCAATCATCTCCATAATCTTGCATATGTGAAAACAGCATGTTCAGGGACAGGTGAGTGCTGTATGTAGCTCTATTGATTTTGCATTCCTGTGCCAGAGTATGAACATGCACTTGTGCACGTACCACTCTGTACATGTTTGATAACAGAGGGAGAAAGTTGACTCGGGTCAGCCTTCTCCCCACGCTGATTGCTGGAAATGAGCCAGCCCATAGAAACACTTTTGCTGACCGGGTGCCATGGAAACGCCAGTCCTGCAAAAAATATTCGACAGCACTTCCTTTAAAAAGTAACTAATTGAGGCACCAAAGGTTGACACCCATTGGAATTTATTCCCTGTGAGCTTCTAAGAAGGACAGCAAGGGCTGCTGGGTAATTAAGAGAGGCATGGGTGCTCCGTGGTCATTGGCAAGCTGAGTTGTTGTTGGTTTTTTTGCAGCAGGATAAGGAATTGCATTGTGCTGGACCAAATTCATGCGTTCATAGTACAATAAAAAGATGTAGAATCATTGCATTTGCTCACAGTCATTCATTATTAACCAGTCCTTTCTCCCTTTCCTCCTTCCCCATCTCTCCCTCTGTGTTTTTTTCCCCCACAACTGATTTATATATGGCAAATTGCTTTAAATTGGCTCTTGCTTGCTTGCTTGCTTGCTTGTACCAGCTGTCTCTTCTATCACTATGCTATGAACCTTGATGATGCTATCTAGATGGATTGGTACATATTAAAGCTGGAAAAATTAGTCAAATAAAATCCATTTAGATTAATCAGTTAGCAAACTTTTGATCAACCAAAAGTTGCCCCTATTAGCCAGAGTATAGATTTTAATGTAATACAAGATGATTCACCAGTCTGTTTTATATTGTCCTCCCCTGTCCCTCTACTCTTTGTATGAAATATAGGAAGCTGCTTTCAATGGAGTCAGATCATAAGTCAGTGATTTCTGTGATAGATGCCTGTATTAGTAGCATAGGAAGCTCCTTTGTACCAAGTTCTATACTGCTGGACTCTCTGGTTTAATGTTATTTACAATGACAGTAGATCTCCAGGGCCAGGATCATGGAGTGTAACACTCCTCAACTGTTCTTATGTGGGCTTCCCTTTCATTTCTACATAAGGAAGCTTCTCAGTGTTTATATCTGCCTCGCATGGTCCATTAGCTGCTGGATGGAATCAGAGGTGCTGAAGCAACATTTGGCTGTAGTTCTGCCACTGGAAGAAAAGAATAAATGTCATAGAATCATAGAATAGAATCATCCCCAGATGAAGATGGACTAAGCTTTCAGGTACCTTTGGCTTATCAAGAAGAGAACATGGGGACATTTACTTGTATGACAAGTCTTTTGTCACTAAGATACACCCCTCTCTCCCTGCTGGAAGAAATGAGTTTATCATCACCCTCCAACCCAGAGGATGGATTCCCAGAAAATTTTCCTCTTCTAGACCACTCAGAAGTTAAAGGATTCAGAAATTAGCCAAGGACCCTTGAAGGGACATAGGGCCTATACAGACTGCCAACAATAATCCAACTTGAGACTCCTTTAACTGTCCTGGCTCAGTGCTAGAAAATCATGGGAATTGTAGT